TATGTATGTGTGTATTGTAGTATGACAAATGTTAAAATCTGAATACCAATCGATTTATAAATAGGGAAGAAGTAAGTCTTGTTGATTTTTGAAAGTTGAGAAAATGCAGGAAGCCGATGGAAGCAGGTGGTTTGGGACTCTGCTTTGTGGCATTTTTTGGGGAAGGAATATGTTCAGTATACTTATAAGGGGCTGTAGACTTATAAGGGGCTTATAAGGGGCTGTAATGGTGGTGATGAATCTCGGCGCAAAACTTTAGTGTGTTACCTTGAACTTGTGATATTTCTTAGTATGCTCAAAAGGGGAGAAAATATACCATATTATTTTTTGAAAAAAATCTATTTTTCTATATAAATCGGTTTCGATTTTCATAAGTAAGCGCTTAATATTATAGTTCTCAGAAATGTTTTGAACTCTTACATATATTTGTTTTATTATTTTTTGCAGGAGATCCCGTGCGATTTCATGCTACATATATGGTGCGATGTGTGTATGATACAATGACGTTTTTCCGTCCTACAAACTTAGTTGCATTTGGTCGTTTATCTGTGGCTGTAAATAAAATAGCTGTATTAGCATTCTGCAACAGATACGGAAATATTGAGTACCAAAGCCTTCAGTGGCATGACAGTATTAATGGATAAAATAATACGAATTAGGTTTTTTATATGTACATAATAAATAATGGTATTTTTTATTTCAAGGCGACTTTACAATCGTGCCCAACTGATTTATTTAAGTCAATTTATTTTAAAAGCTTACATACCTACATCAACAAATTTGACCTCGTTATTCACTATATCAGATTCAGATGTTATATCACTAACATAACATCTGAATCTGAAAGGTGACACTTGAGTTATTGTGCATACTATTTAAAAAAATGACTGAAAATAATAACCAAACAAATTGCAAATTCTATACAACGGGATATGAAATAAATTTTATACTTATATTAGTAGTATAGTTGTAGCACGAATGGGTCGGCTTGACCGGGGAAGGACCACGCTCTCACAGAATACCAGCGTGAAATAGTAGCTTAATGTTGCTGTATTTCGTATGGTGAGTGTAGAGAACCGGAGACCCTTTTTACTGGAAACGAGGCATTCCATCTTAGTCCTCACGGGTGACAACGCATCTGCATTTTGATTTGTAATCGAGGATAGATGTAGATGTCTATGGGCCGCAGCAACCCCTTACCATCAGGTGGACTGTGTGCTCGTTTGTCACCCTATCCTATAAAAAAAAATTGTTGTGTGCTTTTATGTAAGACCAAATAGCTTTAGGATTGTTGGAAATATTTTTTTCTACCTTAGAAATGTATGTATCTAACATTTGTTTTTCAATATACTTGGCCTGTAAATACAATGAAGCGATAAGAACTAAAATGTACAAATAATTACAAGCGGATACATCATGCAAATAACTTTCTGAGCACTGTGTACTAGGATAAAGAAAGATTAAAAAAAAATTATAACTAAATACAAATAAAAATATATGAAGCGAAAAGGAAAGAACATATTATATAGAATGTTACAAAAGATGGTCTCTTAAGGTGCGACGGAGCTTGTTAGGTGGGTCGAAAAATATATCAATTTTATCTCTATTTTTTAACAAGTTTACTCATTCTAGCAATTGGAGAATTGGAGCCAAACATTGTTCTTCGATATGGTCTAGTCAATGGTGTAATCTTACGAGCGTAACGCGGGTAACGAAAGGGAACGCACATATTAAATTTCAGGACAGTCAATAACACCACTGATGATTTTAGAAGCAAAAATCAAATCAATAATATCCCTGCGGTTTTTTAGAGAAATCATTTTGAAATAGATCAAATTATTTTCATATGATACACGCTTCTTATTACTTCTAAATCCACTTGCGTATGACAAATGTGTTATAAATCTTTTTTGGATCCGCTCGATTCTCATTGAATGTGTAGCGTAATGAGGTCTCCAGACTACAGCACAGTACTTTAATATACTTCTTACCAAACTGTTAAATAAAAGAATTTTAATTTTAGCGCTTCGAAAGACTGATATATCTTATGACAAAACCCAACATTCTAGATGCACGTTTAGTAATGTTTTCAATGTGGGGTACAAAAGTTAATTTTTTATCAAATATGACCCCGAGGTCTCTAATTTGGTCTATCTGCTGTATTGTATTATATCCAATGTGATAGCTATAGTCGATAGTGTTACTTTTTTTCGCATATTGCACATAGAAACATTTACTAATGTTTAAGTCCATACGATTTACTTTGCACCATTTAATCAGTTGATCAAAATCGTTCTGTAGCTTTATTGAATCGTTCCCTTCCACAATCGTCTTGCAAATTTTTAAGTCATCCGCATACAAGTACACATGAGACCATTTCATCAATTCTGGAATTTCATTTACGAACACCCCAAACAGAATCGGTCCAAGATGAGACCCTTGGGGCACACCAGATTTAATATTTTTTAAACCTGACTGATATCCATTCACCACTACAAAAACGCTCGGTCCTTTAAATACGATTTTAGCCATTTTAACATACTACCAGTAATGCCGTAGGCAGCTAACTTACGAACCAATATGTCATGTGGGACCCGATCAAATGCTTTGCTAAGATCAGTATATGTGAGCAAACCGGGTTCGATCCCCGCCGGCACCAATGAAATTGTTAATTGCAATTTTAAGTGCTGATTTACCACGTGCTCGGCGGTGAAGGAAAACATCGTGAGGAAACCTGCATGTCCGAGAAATAAGAAAAAAAATTCGAAGACATGTGAAGTTCGCCAACACGTATTGGGGCAGCGTGGCGGACACTTCCTTGCCCTAAAACCCTCTCAGAAATGAGGGGAGGCCTGTGCCCAGCAGTGGGACGTATATAGGCTGTAACTTTACTTTTAACTTTTAGTGCTCGTAGACCTAGATTTAACGAAACCATGTTGGCTAGTGGTTAAGTAAAGATTGATATGTCTCTGAATATAAGGACAAATAATTGACTCTAATAATTTAGCAAAGACTGATAGTTTAGAGATCGGCCTGTAATTTCTTACATAATCCTCACTGCCTGTTTTATGAACCGGAACGATTTTAGCTATTTTCCATAGAGTAGGAAACTGCCCAGTACAAAGAGAAAAATTGAATATAATTAATAGTGGATTAACAAGGTGTTCAGCACATCTGACTACAAACACTGAAGGGATTCCATCAGGACATGCTCCTTTATTACACTTAATGCTTTTTAGTTTATTTAATAGGGTATCATGATCAATTTTCAGCTGTGCTAGGTGAAGGCTATTAATTTCAAGGTCTCTGAATGGTCATAAACATAATCCTGCTCTGTATATTCAGTATTTTCAGAGTACATGGATGAAAAGTGTGAAGAAAAAACTTCGCAAGTTTCCACTCCATCAGAAGTTACCGTCGTACCGTCAGTCATTGATAGGGGTTAGGCGCCTGAACTTGATTTCACACTAAATGTTATTTATGTCTTTTTATAGTTTATATTCATGCGGACAGTATTTAGCTATGATTTTGTACGTGACCCGTTATCTAGTTGGTATTGTTGATCGAAGTTGACAACACTCGAAACGAAGCCGCACTCTACTGCGGAGTGCGGACAGCGCAGTCGCACCCCAGTATTATATAATTATTATAGTTCATAAAAGATAGCTTGATCTCTACGACAGCTGTCAATAAAAATCACGCATATGAAGTCCTGAATTTCTTAGTAGTACAGACAGTACCTGTCAATATCATACTTTATGGACATGCCGACCTAATTAGGACTTATATATCTCTATGTGTCTGTACTACTAAGAAATTCAGGACTTCATAGGCGTGATTTTTACTGACAGCTGTCGCAGAGATCAAGCTATCTTTTATGAACTACAGTTTATCGTCGCACCCGCACCAGCACCGCGCCTCGCGCCTCGTGCCCCGCACACGCGTTTATAGTCTGGCCAGCACTATCGGACAGCATTTGATTTATATATAAAGAGAAGATAATAAATACAAACGTTTATCAGAATTGTTATTATGTTATATAGATATACGTAGATATTGCAACTATGTAAGAACAACTTCAAGAAGGAAACCGATTTGAAGATTCAGTTAGGCTGGGTAGCTCCGTCGGGTTTTCTCGTTGCCACAAAGTCTGAAGATAAAAGTCCTCAACTAGTGCGTTCTGGCTCTACTCACTTATGGTGACGAAACGTGGACATCAGTGAGGCTACTCCACAAACTAAAAGTCGCAACTAAATATCTGCAAAACAAACAAAATCAAAGATCAATCCAATAGATAAAGGACAAGGAAGATTGACGTGGGGAATACCCAGCAACGCGGCGGAAGCAAATCGTTCGAAATGTTTTAAGTTTTAGCGAGACTCACTGCTTGGCCAAACTGAAACTGGGCGGGGCGGATGCAGCGCGAAGTACTTAAATTCAAAGTCTTCATTTGAGTGTCCACTTCACAGTGGGCACGAGCAAGCGGGCGCGGGGTGGTTGCTATTGATACAAGTTAATTGTTAAAATTAAAGTGCTTTTTTGCGCCACCGGTCACGCGTGTCGTTTATTTCGCCTATGTGAGTGACCGGTGCGGCGCTTGAGAGCAATCCTTTGCAGTGGGACACACCTGCCTAGTAAAATTTAGAAAATAGGTACTAAATTATGAGAAGTAGGGAAAAATACGCAAAAAAAAATGTTTCATATAAAATTTGGTTTTAAATATCGTAGTTTTAAGATTCAAAAGATACAAAAATCTTTTACAGTATTAATGTTTTAATAACATAATAATATATCAATCACAAAGAAATATCAATATTTTACACGTGGTCATAGAAAGGCTCACAAAACAATTTAGACAGTAATTTAAAAGTTATTATATTGAAAATATTACAAACAAAAATTATTGTCCAAATTACGTTCGATGCTCTCTATTAAAACATGGCAGGCAGTAATGTGGCTGACCATCACACTGCAAACAATAGGTAGGCACTTTCAGGGTCTTATTTTTTGCGTCTTTTTCCCGGCATCTTTTCTACATTGTTCTTGTAACAGCCGACACAAAATCGTCTCATTTTGCGTACAGGTCCCTCTTTTTTGACAAGTTCATGTTTTCGTCGTTTTGGACGTAATTCAAGTGCTAAGTTACCTGTTTCTGGACGTCCTGATTTAGTGAGATATTGAACGAGATTTTTTCTATAATCTACTACTGAAATATTTTTCTTAGTGGTTTCCTTATACATTATCAACGCATTTACCACAGCTGTATTCAAGAGCAATTCTATGGCCAATTTTCTATACCATTTGACAGTTTTTCTCAGTGGAGTTGAATAAGCTGTCATCTGATCACTCATGTCGACTGAAGCTTTACATTTGTTATAATCAATAACCATTGCTGGTTTTTGCACCGCCTTGCCTCTGACATTTAATCGAGTAAATTTGTCCGTGTGCTTTGTAGACAGCATTAAAACATCTCTTTTATCTTTCCATTTTAATACTGTGATGCCACAATCGTTTTCTTGTGCTACGAATTCACCTCGTTTTAAATTAGTTTCTACTACTTTCCTAGGCAAGTACTTTCTGTTCTTTCTCACTGTCCCCAGGAAATGTGTATCGTTTTTTAGTAATTCGTACGCCAGTTCCAAGCTGGTGTACCAGTTATCAGTGGCAATGGTGTGGCCTTTATTCAAGAGTTCATCGCACAGGGATAATACTATTTTTGTAGGGGTATTATTCTCAATATCAATATTTTTTCCACTGTATACCTGTATTTTTAAAGTATAACCAGGATTTGTACAAACTTTAAACAATTTTATACCGTATTTGTGCCTTTTAGATTTGTTATATTGTCGAAAAGTGACTCGACCTCTAAAAGGAATCATACTTTCGTCGACACACAGTTCTTCTTTAGGGGCATAGTAGGCTTTAAATTTATCATTTAACAAATTCACAAGATACCTGATTTTTCCAATGCGATCGTTCGGATTCAAGTTGTAATTGTCGGCAAAGTGTAGGTACTGTAAAAGTAATTCAAATCTGTTCCTAGTCATCACTGTGCGAGGAAACGGTTGTTGAAATATGTCATCTGTACTCCAGTAATCACTAATTGATGGCAATTTCACAAGGCCCATGAATAAAATTAGTCCAAAAAATCGTTTTATTTCATGCTTATCGGTTGGCTGCCATGTATGTGAGCGAGAACATGGCTTGAAATCTTTATCTCCAAAGCTTTGCGTAGCAAACAGGTTACTTTGTTCAGCAATTATTTCAAACAAGGAATCGTCAACTAACAAAGAATAAAAATCCTCTGGATCTCCTTGACTTAAGTCTCTTGAAAAAGGAAACTTCATACCTGTGGGCTCAGTGAAGGGTATCACTCGAGCAGTGCATCCAGTAGGGTTCTTCCATTTTGTGTACGTGTTTGAAGAAGTTGGTAAATTTTGTAGGACAAAATCTTTTACTGAATCGCTTTCACTGTCCGAATTGATAACCATACGTCTTCTTTTCTTCGGAACATGTAAATTTTCAGACTCATCATCGCTACTGATGTCCCTGAACGATGTCTGAAGTGCGTTGAACTCCAAAGTCTCAATCTCTTGCAAATTTTCTTGCGACAATTCAAAGTCCGCCAAATCCATTTGAAATTCGCAAAAATCGCGTTCCTCATTATTAGGTACTATATTATTTTCCATCGCAATGAATTACTAAACATAACTAACATGAAATATGCTTTAGACGTATTCTAATTAGCCAAAAACCAAACGAACATAACCTCTCCGCGCAAGCGCCGGCGATAGACTGGAGCGCGGGGTGACCGGCGGGGTGGGCGGCGTGGCGCATGCAAACGAAAAATAACTTTTTTGCTTTTGAGCGCCATGGGGGTCACAGGTGCCCGCGGCTAGTTTTTCAGCAATAACTTGAAAACTGTATTTTTGATTTCGATAAAAACTGATTTCTATACATATATCATGATTATTAACAAAATGACTACAAAAAATTTTTGGAGTAAAATCACATTTCTTACATGGCGTTTAACGTGTTAAGAAGCAATCAATGAAATGAACAATATTTATTCAAACATAGACTATATTTGTAGTGTAGTTTTAATTTAAATCTTCCAAGAATTTCGTAATATGACGCATCAACATATTGTAAAATTCGTGAAAAAATAAAAAATTAGCTAGGTTTTATGGTCTACGACCTTTCCCTCTGCTTTATTTCATAATTGGTGAATCGTAATCGTAAAAACAGTAGCGATGTCGATGTTGCAGAAACATCGATGAGCACACCGGTGATGGTATCGATTTTCGATGTTTATCCTATTCCAAACATCGTCATGTTGCTTATGGTTTGTTATTGATGAAAAAAAAGAAATTAATTAAAATTTTTAGTGTCTAACAGTAATATAAAAAATGGGAAGGAGTCAACAAATATCTAGTTCATTTGTTAAATAGGCCAATATTTCTTGCCGATAATGATGCATGTTATTACTTCAATCTGTAAATGTTCTTATACGCTCACAAATCCGGAATGTAAAAAATTATTATGGGACCTAATTTACAATTTAGACGTAGTTTTTATATCAACTACTTCTATCGCGAAAAAATATGGTTATAGGGAAAATATTGACAAATCATACAAAAACAAAATAATATACTTTTCCATCACCTTCGTTCTCAATTTTTAATCAGGCAGCCCAAGCAGTAAGTATCCACAGCCGTTTATAAAATCCAAAGTCGAATACACTATGCAGTGATATTGTCTATGATGTTGCTTGATGTATTTTCATAACTTTCTAGTTCCAACAAATAATAAACTCGTTATGACAGGCTCAAAAAAGCATTTTAATAATTCAATTGAGTAAATATTTACATACTGTTTCAAAATTATGTGAGTATAGACAGCAAGGGAAAAAACAATTAGTTTGAATATCGTTTTACGTAGAATAGTTATTAGGTGACAACCGACAACTACACCGCAGAATAACAAAGCGAAAGAAATGACAACTGTGACATTACAGTTCACACTTGATTTGATACACCATAATGATATTTTTTTAGGTGATCGATGTGGTTAGGATTTCTGAATTATTCAACATTTTAAACCTCTAATAGGAGATGCAAAATTTAGTGCAAATAGATTTCGCGGGTTCGCGTTCTTCACACGTTCCTATTAATCGATTATGAGTTCATTGACATCGATGTTTCGATGTTTGAAATGTGGCAGCATCGATGTTTTAATTTTTAACATCATCGATGTTCGATGATCATCGAACATCCCTAAGCAACAGCAAATTGTTGTTGACATTTTATAAAGATCTTTTTGTTTGCTATTTTTATTTTTAAATTTAATTAAAAACTAATATACCGATCTGAACATGGATGATCCTGAACTGGAACAAATTCGGCAGCAACGCCTTGCACAGCTTCAGTCTCAACATGGGGTAGGTCTCTATAATTGAATAGGTTATGTACAGATTATGATTATTAATAAGCATATTATCAAAGAACTATCATTTTTGCTTTTTATAGGGTACTGGAGATCCTAGTCATGCTAAGGCCCAAGAAGAAAAGATGAAAGCTATGGAAGAAGCTAAACATTCAATTTTAGCTCAAGTGCTCAGTCAAGACGCCAGAGCAAGACGTAAAAATAATTATTTATTTTATGGATATAAATTGTATACTTTCACATTTAATTATTAATAAATGTATTTTATTTTAGTAAACACGATAAAGATTGGCAAACCGGAAAAAGGTGCCATGGTCGAAAATATGATATGCAGAATGGCACAAATGGGACAAGTTCGCGGTAAAATATCTGAACAAGAATTAATTCAGTTGCTTGAATCTGTCAACCAACAGATGCCTAAATCAACAAGCACTGTCAAGTTTGATCGTAGGAGAGCTGCCCTTGATTCGGATGATGATGATTTCTAGCACAGTAAAATGTTGTATTTAATTTTTTTACATTTGGATAGCTTAATAACTGTACTGTAGTCATTATAATTGACTGCACATCATCTTCAGTTGTATTTAGACTGGCTTAGCATGAAACATAATGTTCATAATAACTTGATAATAATATAAGGTTGTACTTATAACGTAAACTTAACATTTTGTCTCATGCTATTCTATAATATATAATTGAAGCCTGGTGTGCTCAATTTATGCTAAGATCTACATTAACTGCCTTAATAATATTGTAAAACTTACTGTTATATCTTTTACAGTAAAATCATATCAGTTTTGTATTTTTGCACTTCATTAAATTTTCTTTTATTTACTTATGTTATCTGTCCAAATAAATAAAATCGAAGTCTGTTTGTAATGTTAAAATAATAGCTTTTTACCAAATGCATATGAAGGTATATATGGCACTTATAACAAAAAAAAAAAACATTTTTTGAAACTATTGTCTGTCTGTCTGTCCGTTTGCTTGGATTAATCTAATCTCTGAAACGACCAAACTGATTAGATAGCTGATATTATAAAGAGTAACTTAGGCTACTTTTATTTTAGAAAAGAATTAGGCTTCTGTTCAAAAAAGTTAAAACCCATGAAATCCAATTATAATAAATTCATGCAGATGAAGTTGCGTGGAACAGCTAGTATTCATATAAAATGGTTAAAAGTAACTTCATAAAGCTAGAACTAAAGGCACATTGTATAATATCAACATTAACTTGACATTCTTCTTTATTGGTCACTAAAATAATTTTGTAAGAAGGTAAGAAGTTTATGCATCCAAAAAAATGCAATTTTTATGTATGACTATGTTGTAATAGTGGGTATGTTCTGAAATATTTCCAGTATACTGATAAATGCAAATGATGTCATTAATTGAAACCCAAATTCCACCATATTCGATACAACAAATCACCTGTATGGCGTCGATTTATGACATCATTTGCATTGGCCAGTTTACTGGGTTCTATTTTGGAACATACCCAGTGTATACCTAGTATGTACACTTTTTATTAGTTTACAGTCAACATTAATCCTTTTACATCAAATATCTCTACCACATACTGACTCAACGCAATAAATATTTATCTTATGGCCTTCAAAGGCCTTCTGGTCAGAAAACGTAGTTATTCTCTCATACTCAAGGGTAGTGTTGCCTACATAAATTATATAAGTATGAGTAGTGCAAGCTCTAGGTTCTAGATAAATTAAAAAAATCTCAGCTGGCCTCCCATGAATAGGCTTTTGTTAAGCTAAATCAGTGTGTTTTACCATCCTTTACTGCATCACCACTTTCCGTAAGGTGGGATAGTAGTCAAGTATTGGTTTACTAAAGTTAAAAATTGATACTTCTCATTTTTTAACTAACAAATATAACTAATAATAAACAACTATATGCATTTATTTCTTGAACATAGTAGAGACATATAGTGTTCAGTTTTAAATTTATGTACCTAAAGATTTCTTATATTTACGCGAACATATTTAAATAAAACTAGTTTTTATGGATTTTATTGTGTATATTCACTTATTTTGTATTCCCGACCTTTTGAGCACTTTACTGCACCCATGGTCTTCTTCTTTTTGTGGAATGGAAAATCAAAGCTGATGAGTTTAATTAAAGTAAGACTGTGATAATACAAGGATTTAGTTTTCCTCCTAGAATTTTGACAAATCTATCTGTTGAGTTACGTAGTACAACTGACAAACATGGTTGTTCGAATCGTTAAAATTGACAACGATTTAAAACTTTTTGTAGAATAAAACACTCTCGATCGTTCTACGACTATTCACAAGCCTTGCCTAACCATTTACACTTGACATATATCTCTTATAAGTAAATGTCATCTACCTACCCTACAAACCACAGATTACCTCCTAAGGAGGAAATCTGCTACAAACTATATAATATGTTACTCCTTCCCCATTAGTTTAACAAAGTAGCAAGTGTTCTTATAATATAATATTACTGTAAGGGATGGGAGCAAAGTGGATTGTATTTATGTATTTTACAAGGAGGAAAACTAAACTAATTAACTATTACTTTGACATCTGTCTGACTAAATATTTAATAAAAATTAATTGCTATTTTATTTTGCTGGGGGCTGAGTTAATTAAAGAAAATACAAAACTAACATTTATTTTATTACAATATTTACAGTATCGCGGCAGTTAAATATTCTAACACTATTGCAACTAATGAGAACCTAATAGGAAGCTTGAGAGGTCTTCTCTCTTGCTTGTTCTTGTCTTGATCGTTGAGCTGCCTCGAATGAATAATCCCGTCGAGAGCGCTTCTTTTACGAGATTAGCCGCTGCCGGGATCGCGTAGGCACCGAGTTGGTATAAGCGCTCGTCCTTGCGGGGCCTTGCTCTGATGCGGGGTGCGGACGACGTGTCGAAGCGGGTGAGACGTGCGGGGTGTTGGGTGGATGCTTCTTTGCCGTCCGTAACATTCTCCCTCCGGCATAGTTCACGAGCCATCTTCTTTCGGGAGGACGGCGATCTTCCTGACGGGCCTCCTCTGCAAACCGCCTCTCGTTCTCACTACAACGTTTCTCACCACTATCCGGTCATGGGAAGGTCCTCGTTACGACTCCTCTCGTCGTTGCTGGGCGTTCCGTGTTTCTCCTCTGAGTACCAGAGTCGGTAGGTACTCGTGGACTGACCGATGAGTACTAGCGACGCTGGTCGCTAGTACTCATCAGCCAGTCCACGTGCAGCCCTCC